TCCTTCTATGAGTCACACTTCTTATTACGTTTTTATTACAGTTTATTCTTAATTAAGAGTATCAGATTAGAAAACACTTGAATCTATCTCTATTAGAATACGAAAAATCTATGACAATGTTTAAGCCCATAAACCCTCACATGTACTACTTAAATACTTCAAATGTTAATAAACTAATCATCTAAATTAACTTATTACCAATCCTAAAGCTATTTACATAAGCAATGATTGAAATTTTCCCATTTAAATCAACTTTCAGCTGGAGGAAAACTTTCAAAGAAGAAATATAAATATTCAGGGCTCAAACGGATTACATAATTCCCCTTAAGCCATGTCCTACTCCCACTTAACCCCATCCTGCCCGCAACAATAAAAACAACAACAGAAGCGGCCACATCATGGAGCCTACGTCCATTCCACGGCTAATTAAGTTATTGGCTGCACGTTGGCAACTTGTTGCGGCATTTGGTTGACATTCGAGTGCAATTGACTTAATCCCCAGTAAGCTGTTGCCCGATGTTGTTGCCGCCAGACTGCAGACTGCGGAGTGCAGCTGCAGCTGCCACTGCAACTGCCCCAAAGGTGCACTATTGTGCACTCGCCTTATTTGTACCGACAACACAACAGCAACAGCAGCAACATCCACCACAGCAAGAGCAACAACTGTTGCCACTGCAACGGCAACATGAGCCAGTGGATCCGCACTGCGTTGGCGGTTTCCCTCCGCCTTTCCCCACTCCTTGCCGGCCTTGTATGTTAATTTGTTTTGGGATCTCCTCGGCAGCGTCTAGTTGGGCGCGTGTCATCATTAACGTGGCCAAACATCCCCGCCATCTCCTCGGTGCTCCCTACTCTGGCCATTGTTGCCTGCCCTTTCACATTGTTCGTCGCCGTCGTCGTCGTCGTCGCCGACGCTTCTTGGCCAAAAGAGAGCCCAACAATGGCAGTCGATTTAATGGAAAGGCTAACACCCGCGGCAACAACAAATGCCAAAGAGATCAGGCAGCAGAGGAAACGACAGTTGCTACTGACCCAAAAATAATAGGGATACGTGTATAAAATTAAGGAGGGGCTGGCCAGGCTAAAATTGGCTAAGAAAAACTGGGAATTTGAGGAGAATCTCTTGTTACCAAATTAATAAATAAAGTGGAGTTAATTCCTACTTAACTGTGGCTTAGGAATAAATTTAAATACAGTGTTCCTTAATTAAAAATTGGGCTAATCCGCATTCAAGCTCCATTTAAATAATTATGCCAGCCCAAGAATGAGCTCTAATTTTTATACCGCACATCACCTCATCAGGGTTTACTTTTTGCTTTTTTAAGCAACCCGATCGGCCATAAAGCTGCCTCGAAACCTCTCCCACATTTGATAAATCTGCAAATCAAGAGCTTTAAATTAAGGCAAATTAATGGCAATTCGCGGGCAAGAGGAGTCGAAATCAATGGGAACTAGTTGGCCGAGTCGAAATCTGGGCCAGCCGGCAAAGAGGAGAAATAGCGAAATGTCGAACAGATCTTCCCAAGCTGCCGCCGGCGCTTTGATTAAGCGCTGTGACATTTCTATCGCTTGCTGCAGATAAACCGAGCAGAAAACACAGAAATTGAAATTGAAATTAATGCCAGATTGATGGCAATCGCCGGACGACAATCGCCTGTCTTTCCATATTAATGGACACCGAGATCTGTAGAGATTATCTGGCCATAGCCTTTGATCATTTTGGAAGCCATGCATTATTTGCATGGGACTTGGCAAAAGTGATTTTATCATAAAATAAAGTGAAGCGCATAAAATTTGTAAGCTAATTGCAATGCCAAAGTGCAGCTGACAACTGCAAATCTGAGTGCATCTGTGTGCGGCAGTTAGTTGGAGATTATCTGCGGACATGTGACAATGATAGCTTCATTAAAATGCAATTGGGGTATTAAAAAATGATTCTTCTTTCAAAATTAATCAGTTTTGTAAGGATTGCTTGGGCTTTACTCATCTTTAAAGTGTCTAAATGCATTTGCAAGATTGTAAACTAATTGCAATGCCAAACTGCAACTGACAAGTGCATGTCCCTCTCTCTCTGCATTTGGAAGATACTTTTGTTAGGGCGAGAGATTATCGGGCGACAGGTGACAATGACAGGTTCATTATAAAGCAATTAGTGGGGTTTATGGCAAAATTAATTTTTAATACAACGCGCAGCGAAAACTGCAAGTGACAGGAGTCACATGAGAGGACACAAAGGACACCCACATGGGACCCCCTTTCAAGCTCAACTTTAGCTGACAGCCTGCACTTGTCTGCCCCAGACTCTCAACTCCCTACTCAGGCATACATATAGATATATATATATATATATATCTGCCGTCTGAGTTGGAGTTGTTGGAGTGCGTGTGTTATTCAATATAACAGCATGTTGAACAGCACCAGCAACAAGCAACTGCAGCGACTCGAGAGCACGCTGCAAAATCTAACGAATATGTAAACGATATGCTAGAAAAATGTCAGTCAAACTGTCGCTTCCAACACACGCGCAGCAGCAGCAGCAACATCAGCAGCAACAACATTTAGTCACTTGATGCTTATATTGAAAATTGTTTTCTGCATTGCATTTTGCAGTAGTTGCATCCGACGTTTACTGCTACAGTGCAGTGAAAGAAAGTTGAGGAAATTCAAATGGAAATTCAATAAAATATTAAAACAAAAGTCTCGAAAAAGGGAATGTATATTGCAAGTTAGTTGGCCTTAGATGAACATACCAAAAAGTGTACTACAAAATACTTTTACTTTTTATAATCTATATTTCTATCAAAGTGGATATTATTCTACACCTTTTCCTTTCATTTTATTACAACTTGATTGTTTCATTTAATTTATTTACATTTTCCCGCAGTGCACTAATAGTTCACCTTAGTTTCGATCAGACTTACGGGCAGAACCAGCTGTAGTTGGAGCTCTGGGGCAGGCAGACGACGAGCAGAATGTAAAAAAATAACGAAAAAATAAACACATTTATGGAAATTTATTCATAGAACTTATGAAACCGATAGACAACAACAACAACAACAACAACAACTGGGGAAAAAAGCGGCTGTCTGACGGGGACCCACAAGCCGGCTTCCTCCGCCCCCTTCTCGACCCACAACTTTGCACCGTTGGTGGCTTGTGAGCCTGGTTTAGTTTCACCAAACAGTTGTCAGTTTTTTTCTTATTTTTCAGTGATTTTTTTGTCGTAGTTTTTGTAGTACTGTGTTCATGCCCCGCAGCCTTGGGCTTTCGGTTAGGGTGAGAGCTTTGTGCAACGGGAGGCGTTGAAATGATTGCCACAGCATGTTATATTTACTATATAAATATGCGCACGAGCAACAAAGAGATTGTTTTTTATCTGTCTCGGAATTGTTTGCTCAATGAAAGTGCCGGACAAATAAAGAGTGTGCTGGAAAATGCAATTTGTTGATGATTTCATAAAAGGGAAATGCAGCTAAAAAAAGGGTACACCGTTGTGGTAAATTGTTTAAGAGTATGTGAAAAGGCGTTGAATATTAACGATTCCGAGTTTATTTAATAAAGAAATTATATATCCATAATCTGAACGCCATCTAAGCTAACAAATAGATGCCAGAATAAGTTTTCAGCTCAACTACCAGCCAAATCTCAGCCCATAAGCATGACTCAGTAGTAATAAAAGCCAATTAAGTCAGTTATTAAGCTATGATTATTCCGCAAAATGTCTAAAAATATACGGCAATCGTTTAATCAAGCAGATCTTGGATTTGATAAGCTTCGGCTATGGATTTTCCGCCTCTCATTAAACGCTCGGAACATTGAAAAATTCTTGTAATTTTTCATGTTTTATTTGCACTGGCGATTAAATTAATTGTTACTTAAATACTTTGACGCCATTCAGCGGCACATCATCATTACACCACCACAAGCGAACGCTTCATTGTGCAGCTGTGAGTGTGTGTTAGTGTGTGTGTGGGGCGAACATATTCATATGCCAGTTGAGAGAAAACTAAAAAATATGCGCGAAAATATGAGCGAGAAATGATTTATGGCCATTGGCAATTGCAGTTGAGCGAGCGAGAGGGGGAGATAATGGGGGGATAAGGTCGAAAATTGGGGAATGGCAATCGCAGTCCATCTCACTCGCACTGTGTACAGCCTTCTCCGTCTGCTCTTGCTCTTTCTCTCTCTCTTATCTGCCATCGCAGACACTGCGTGCGCTAATTATTTCATATGTTTTACACATCCCTCGCTCTCGCTCTTACTGTGCTGCCCTCTCTGTTGCTCTGTAAATTAGGTGCAATTTTCATGACTTTCCCGGTTTCATTTTGTATTTTTGGCGTTTGGAGAACAACTTGTTTGATTATACGAAGCACTCGGACGGTTAAATCCGCGATTTCCGATTGCCAGGGGAACTAATTTGCTTTGTTAAACGACGACGAGCGAGCCGGGAAAGATTTATGAACTGCTTTAATGATCTAATTAAATTGCAACTAGCCGTGAATATCATTCGACGATCCCCATCCCCCTCCAGCTGCCATTATTTTCTGCCATTAATCATCTGACTGCAAGTGCCCGCTTCTATGGGAATTATTCCGATTCAGGTTCAGCCTTTGCGATTACATTGGCTTATCGACACGCGTTTATGCTAATTAATTTGATTATCAACTTCTATCTCCCCGACGTTTTGGCATATCATTGTTTTAGGCGCTTCGAAAGGGAACTTAATTGGTTTATACTGAATTCGATTTCATTAAAAGCGGTTTACTGAGTGAGGCAGTAAACTGGAATGTGGCGACAATTGAAATTATTTTGCAGTACTTAAAATAAGAGCTTTTAGGTATGCAAATTACTGATGTACTTAATTTATTCAAAAAGAGTAACAAACACAATGTTTTAAAATGTAATATTTTGTACAGAAATTCCATAAATTAAATCTGCATCAGAATGAAATCTTTCTTATATCTTAGGCTTCTATTTTAAGAATTATCAAAAGTATTTACCTTAGTTCTCTGTGATTGTTTTCGTGTCTTTTCTATCGATATATATAATTGTTGTTGTGTAAAAATCGGTGCCCAAAATATATATATATATTCATGTATATTAATATATTTATTCGTGTGTACTTCGCTCAGCTAAAATATTCATTGATGTTCCTCGCTCACTTCTCATATATATACACAATATTGTTGTTTTCCCTTCCGCTGATACTTTCCGTTAAATATATATAATATCACAATTTCTTTTTTAAAAACGTAGCCGTTTCGTGAGATTTACACTTAGATTATTTCTTAGATTTTAATATGTTGAATGCCGTTAAATATATATGTACAATCACAATTCAGGCGAACTAAGCATATTTGCGTGGAAACGATGCGAATGTTTGGAGATTGAGATTGAGTTAATATTTTTGTTTTTGTTTTTGTTTTTATTTGTTTTTTGGTTTCTGCACTCGTTTTTTGATTTTCTACTGCCGATGCTGATGCTGATGTCGATGCCGATGCCGATGCTGATGCTGATGCTGTTGCTGATGATGAACTTTTTGAACTTCTTGAGGTTTTGCAAACGATACAAAAGCAAAATTAATAGAAACCGCGCCACCACGATGGCAATCAGAACGATAAACGAAAGGACGAGAAGATGCAAACGCAAATAATTTCGATGTTGGCGCGACGCTCTGCGTTTTCTACCCATAAACCCAGAGGTATCCGTATCTCCGCTGGCTTTCATACAGGTCAAAATCGAATTCAATTTGCCGCGGACCGTCCTCCTGTCCTTATCAGCATGGGCTTCTTATCGCGGGAGACCAGGGATCCAACCCAGTACCCAGAAACCACAACCCAAGAACTCAAGACCCAGAATCAGTATCAGAATCCAAACGAAAATTGGCAATCTCGGGTGTCTCGGTGTCTCGGAGTCGTCTCCTTCGCAGCCGGAAAGTTCAATGTTGCTGCCGGGCTATCTGATAAGCCCTATTTATTGTGATAATGTGTGGGCCTGCCTGTATTATTATTGAAAAAATCAATTCTGTGCTTTATGATTGATGCTCTAGCAGCAGCATGCGCGATTTTCTGCGAATTTTCCATGTCATTTTCAGGCGGCTCCACCACGCGACACTTGGCGCCCGCTCATTTTGCGCCAAAATATTTGCGAAAAGGTCGCTTATGTCACTATTATCTGGTTCCTGTTCTTATTTGTTTTGGTTTTGGTTTTTCTTTCTCTGGCTTTGGGCTGACTCTCCTCGTCCTGAGCAGGGAGCAGCGAGAAAATAAACGGAAGAAACCGTCGACTTTACGAATTTATTTTTGTATTTCTTTGAGATTTCTTTATCTTATTTGTGTGCTGAACCGCTGGAGTGTATTTTTACGTCCGATTTTTTGGGAATTGGGGAATGAACCGAACGGAACTGAACGCGAGAAACGACGGCAGAACCGAGAACCAAGTGCGAATCGAGCGGCGGCGGCACGTCTATTTGGCACGTTCATTCATTCACAACTGAACCGCCAGTGAATCACAATGAGCCCGGCTCGTAAACATTCGACTGCCGCTGCTGTTGCCAGTTGCCTGCTCGCTGGCAACATGTTGCTGCTGTGCTTCCCGCCAGCAACACAACACCGCATCGCTGACGAATGAGCGTGCGAGGCGAGCAGAGCAGCAACATCAACAGCAGCAGCAGCAACACAGCCACCAACGAAAATGATAAATGGCGGCATTGTTATTGTGCAAACACACACACGCTCACGGCTGATGAAGGGGGGAACAGTGAAGGATGGTTGACTAGCAGCTTGTACACAACTTACTTTGTGATTTAAGGGGATCTGTCTGGTTTAGTTTATCCTGAGAGTTAGTAATGTACAAAATCAAATTAATTTATCTTCATAACTGAAGTATATTTTCAGATACTATTAATGGCGGAATGGTGCTTAGCAATTAGAAAATTATCCGCTTAGTGTAGTAATTGTTACTAAAACCATTTCTTTAAATATTTTCTTTTCGATATAAATTTATATTCAATTTCTTTAACATAGATTGTTTTAATTATTAGCTAAAAATAAATGAATTCATAAAATCATTTCGAACTATATATACCTATAAAAGAGTTTTGTTATATTGCTTACTAATAAGATTTCATTAAATTTAAAATCTATAAATCCTTTCCATCTTTATCGTATTTTTGTATTGACCTACTAAGTAATTGCTTCCAGCAAGAACCCAAAATGGTTCCTATTTACTTCCGCGTACTGTGTTCTTGGCAACTTCAGAATGTTGCTAGCGAAATGTTGCGCGCGCTTTGGCCAACTTGTTGGCCAAAATGTTGCCGGCGTGCAAATGAAGTAATAATCGAACAAATAATTACATTCAAATGGCAGAAGTTACAACTTGTGACTGGGCATTTATAAGCGAGCATAAATTAAATACACATTGAAAGCAATCAAGAAAAAATGTTTATAAATTAAAAAAAGTCGGCGGAATATAAATGATAACTAAATAATCGAGAGCTTTGCCGCTGGGAAACTCAATATATCAGATAGAAATAGAAATTCTGTGTCGTTTTTGGATTGGCGCTTTGATTTTATGCCGATAATTGCTGCCATGAATATATAATAATTCGGAGCCCACAAAGGGTGAGGAGTTGTGTTTGTTTAGTAGCCAGGAAACCCTTTTTTAGCTTTTTGTTTTTTATGGGAACAGGCTGAACTTGAATTCGTTTCTGTTGTTTTTTTCGGGCCAACATACAGCAACAACATAATCACAAAAATTACCGCCATGCATATGAAATACAAATATTCCCCCCTCTCGGAAATCCCCCTCAAAGAGCACGCACACAAAAACAACAACAATAATATATATGTAAAAAAGCGGAGAAAAAAGATTTATGGCTTTTGGCGGCGCAATTGTTGTTGCCGCTTCTATGTAGTAAAAAGTTGAGCCGCAATTGAAAGTGAAAAGCGTGGAAACGGGGAAGTCATCGAGAGTGTCGTCGTCGTCGTCGTCGTCGGTCAGTGAACGCCGTCGGCCAAGGACCTTCTCCTTACCCATTCTCCCTCTCCTTTTCCCTAGTCAGCGGTATATGGCTTCATTATGCCCGAAGGTCCTGTTTTCCGCCTGCATTCAAATCTATATCAGATTTTTCAATATCCCTTTGCATATATTTAAGCGCTAATTGCGTGAAGCCATAAATCTAAATTCTGTTTTTTACTCAGACAGAGATGGCACGACGACGACCAGGCCAGACAGAGAGGGCACGATCGTGTTGATAACTTCATTTAATGCATTTGCAACGCACCAACTAGCAACAGTTGTTGATGTCGTTCTTTTCTTGTTTTCCCTTCTTTTTTTTTTGGCTAGAAATCTTAGATCTGCCTGGAGGCTAAAGGTTCGTGCAGATGCCAGATAAAAGCGGTTAAGCTGGCCTACAGAGCGATTTATAAGGAACAATCTAGTAAACAAGCGTTTACAATACAAAGAGATAAAATGCAGTGAAAGTTATTACATATTATTAGTTTTATATTTAGTTGCTATTACGCCTTAAAGTTGGAATAGCGTTTATCTAAAAGCTTACATATTAGGAAGTACACTACTACTACTACCATATTCAATCTTATAAACTTAAGTACTATAAATCTGAAACAAAAACTATTAGAGCCTTCTTATTGATTCTCTATTGTGTTGTTAAAAGCTAATCCTGCTGTCCAATTTCCTCCTTTTCTCAACATTTTTTCATGCTCCTGTTTCACTCGCGCTAATTTAATTTATTTCGGCATCTGTTTCGAGCACATTTAACATCCATTAAGCGCGGCAATTCTCTTGATTGCACTCACATCCTTGTACACAGCCCATCCCTAATGCACTTCCCCCATCCCTATGGAAAGGGACACCCTCATGCCGCACACCATCCTGCCCCCTTTTTAGTGAATCGCCGTTCAATCAGGGCGACACTGAAGCGGGACGTCATTAGCCATATCCTGGATCCAGGAAGAAAACTGCCAGGGACAATGGCCAACAGCAACGACGTATCAAAAACAATTCTCGCCGCAAAATCCGTTGAATTGAAATTTCAACTTAGGAAAAGGGTCCACTCCCGGTGCCACCCTCTTCAAAATCCGCACACCCTCCGTCGACCCACTGATGTCAGGCCAAAAGCTGACAAAGACGAAAATCAAAATCGTTACGTGGTCCTGGCAGCTTCCACTCCAGGACTTGAAATTAGAGCCTCCCATGCAACTGCTAATGGGAGCACACAAACACTGCCTCCAACTAAGCACACGGACACATGGCCACTTTAACAGTCGGGGGGAGTTAAACAGGACACTTGAAAGTTATTACAATCTTAGTATTAAAAAAAAAATTAGATAATAATTACTTATACTTTTACATTATTTTATGAAGTACCATTTCTTCATAATCTTGAATAAAATTATTTTTAAGACTTATATAAATTTGATCATGAATCACAGTTTGGATTTCTAGTGAGCGTGCTCCTGCCTGTGGATATCCCGCATCCATATCCAGTCTAGCAGGAGGCTCAGAGCGAGAGCGAGAGGCAGGGAGCGACCGAGTTGACTGGCAAAAGATATTCCAAACTCCCATATCCGATCCACACACACACACACACTGGCACTGGCACACCCATACACCCATACAATCGCACATTCCGGCTCGCATTCGCATATGAGTATTGAACGACGAAATGAAACGCACATAAATCAAAATGGCCGGACAGCGGACCCAGCGACGGGTCGTCGGTCGACGGTCGACGGTCGTCGGTCGAGAAGGACGCTCGCTCTCCGTTTTAGACTGACAGGCGGACTCCGTTCCCGGGGTACAGGGGCGTTGGGAAAAGGGGGTGAAAACTCCAAGGGAAGGGGGAAACTTTGGGCGCACGGGAAATGAAACTGAAAAGGGAAAGGAAACGGCGTTTTGCTGTCGCTGTTCTGCCGCTGCTCTGCTAACGGTTTTTGGTGGCAAAGTGGCAAGAGGGGTGGGCTGCCAAAGGGGGTGGCGAACCGAGGGTGTGGGGCAGCAGGCGGGGGGTGGTGCGGGCATGGCTGAGTGCGCGCTGCTGAACAAATGAAATGACGACGGGTTGACTGCCTGTCAAAAGAACAAACATGGGCGCACAAGCCTCTGTCGCCGGCGCTGCCTCAGTCGGCATCGCTGCCTCGGCTAACGCCGCTGTCTTACACTGGAAAGTTAACTAGTTTTCAAATCTATATTCAATGGATCTTCTATCAATCAAATGTGACAAGAGAAATATTGTGTCAATAAATATTTGGAGGACCGCTTAAACTTTTTCGGTATCAGAAATCTGTCACTTA